CCCCCCCCCCCCCCCCCCCCCCGGATGGCGAACGCTACAGCTAATGTCACTGAACCCACCGCACGCCACTGCAGGACCGCACATCTTATCCCATAAAATCGTTCGCCCTTTAAACCGATATTGGGGGATTAGGCTAGACTAGTCAATGAGTCAACTGTTGGCCTAATTTCATTACGTGAACGCAGAAGAAAAACGGGGTAAAAAAACACTGATGTGTGATTACCTAATTTTCAAGGACAATTCTGTAATTTCTCCTACGATTTTAAATCGATTAAAACGCGTACCTAATATCCAAAATTTAAGCTCAGATTCAGATTCCTCGTGAAAAACTGATGCGATTTCATGCATCATATGTTACAATAGCGTAAAGGAAAGAGGTTTAATGACGTATAAAAACACTAATGTGTGATCAATTTTCAAGGACAATGATGTAATTTTTCCTACGATTTTAAATCAATTAAAACGCGTAATATCCAAAATCTAAGCTCAGATTCAGATTCCTCGTAAAAAACTGATGCGATTTCATGCATCATATGTTAGAATAGCGTGAAGGAAAAAGGTTTAACGACGCGTTTAGATTCTGTCTACTACCCGTTTGAACTACGCCGCCGCGCTGCGCCGGTCGCCCGAGATGCAACCGAACGGGGAGGCGCCGGCCGGCGCTAAGCAGCTCGGTTTCGTCCCGAGGAATTTCTCACCACGATAAACTCTTCACTGAGCACTACCCATGTTGCCACGTTGCATTCATGTGCTCGAATCAGTATGCTACGTTGCGTCTCTTTCCTCCACGCTATGCTCGGGTATGATACATGAAATTGCATCGATTTTTAACGAGGAATCCGAAACTAAGCTTCGATTTTGGGTATCACGCGTTTTAAGTCACATTTTCCAACTTCAAAAATCCGAAATGACGGACGTGGCTAAAAATGCTATCTCGGCTCCTGTTCGATGGATTTTTGTGAAACTCTGTGTCAGGGTATGATACATGAAATCGCATCGATTTTTTACGAGGAATCCGAATCTGAGCTTCGATTTTGAGTATTACGCCTTTTAAATCAAAATCTGTCAAAATTCAAAAAATTGAAAATTCGAAAATCCGAAATGACTGAAGTGGCTTAAAATGCTATCTCGGCTCCTGTTCGATGAATTTTTCTGAAATTCGGTGTCAGGAGGTATTTTTCGACGGGAAACTCGAATTTTTAGTCAATTTTTTAAAATTCTCAACTCCAAGTTGTTGGACGTAGCCCAAAATTCTATCTCGGTTTCTGTTCGTTATAGAGCTTTGTGAATTACGGGAGCAGGGGTACTTTTCGACGGGAAACTCGAATTTTTAGTCAAGATTTAAAAATTCTCAATTCCAAAATTGCGGACGTGGCCTAATATGCTATCTCGGTTTCTGTTCGTTCGAGTTCGGTGAAACTCGGTATCACGTGGTATTTTTCGACGGAAATAACTCAAATTTCTAGTCAAATTTCCAAAATTCGTAAACCCAAGATGGCGGCCGTGGCCTAAAATATTATCTCGGCTCCTGTCGGTTTTTGTGAAACTTAGTAATGGTATAGGGGAAATCATTCCAGTCAAATCTTCAAAATTCGAAAATCATGATGGCTAAAAACCAGGTCTTTAATGCCTGAAGTAAACTATTAAATCAGTTCTGACGTGGAAAAAATTTTACCTTTGATGAATAAGAGAAGGAAAATAGAAGGAGATAAAAACATATAAAAAATTCAGCTTATTGCACAAAAAATATACATCTGAAATTAGATGGGGACAATGTCTTGGCAAAGGATAGGCTATCCCAGGGGCCGACGCAAGCCTGTCTGAGCCTCGAGCAAAATCTCAATCAACAAAATTATTTTACTTTTGCCGGCAGATTGGTAATATAAATGGAAACTTTTGTGATTCTGGGAGGCCCTACCGGGCCCCCCAGGCCTTGGGCCCCGCGGCTGGAGTCCCGGCAACCCCCCCCCCCCCNCCCCCTATGTGGGGGGACTGCCTAAGCGCCATGGAAAATCATTGCGAGTACTAGCCGTTCTGGACGCGCTTTGCGCGTCCGTCATGGCCAGCCAAAGAGGCTACGCCCCCTGGACCCCCGATCACTCGTTACGCGAGTGACATTCGGCTCGCTCCGTGAGCCATTTTTCTCAATGATTGGACGTTTGATCACTAACATGTATGCATTTTGGAGACTCTGGAGGCAAAAATGATTTCGTCATAGAACCTTGTTGCTGGAGCGTGCCATCATTTGCACATGAATAGATGTGTGGAGATTAAGCGATGATGGGCATCGATCATTTCTTCAAGACGCATTTAACGGGGACGTCATCCCATCGGTGGCGGAAAAAGACAATCCATGGATCTCCTTCCGCGATTTGACTCGCTGAAGTAGCAAAAGTTCATCTTTACCTCTTAAGAAGATTATCAGCGGCGTAAGGGTCTAAAAACTGCTCAACGATAGTAAAGTTCGAGTTCCGAATCGCAATGAGCCCACTCGTGTTTTTTCTTATATTTTCATCGCATATAAAGGACCCCGCACACCTCTTATGGGAAGCTGCACCACTACCGATTGCCTTCTGACTTATGTACTTCGATTCTCCTCAAGATGCTGATCAAAAGTTATAATTGCGCCAACTCTCTACGATGCACCGTTTTCGCAAAAAAGCTAAGTGAAGATTCAATTATTCGGCGGCGACTATGAATAAAAAAGAAAAAAGCATTTCAGAACAGGCCCGATGTAAATAAGGAAAATACGTACCTAACGCATGTCCGTCTTCTTTTCTGTACCTGCCGACTCTAGGGCTATCCCCCTCCTCCCGCTCTCGATGCGTCCGCGTCCGTCCGTTTGACGCTCAACTGATTTGGATGGTCGAGGAAAACGGCGTGCGGAATCCGAGATAAGACTGCCCGTCCGTCGGTGCGGGAGTTCCCCTGATTTGTTCACTCGAGTACTGAAATGAGGAATCTTTCTGGCTTTTTATCGCCAAATAATTGAATCTTCACTTAGCTTTTTTGTGAAAACGGTGCATCGTAGAAAGTTGGCGCAATTATAACTTTTGATCAGCATCTTGAGGAGAATCGAAGTAAGTACATATAAGGCGGAAGGCAATCGGTCGTGGTGCAGCTTCCCATAAGAGGTGTGCGGGGTCCTTTGTCCTTTCTTTGATGTTTTTGTTTTATTCTCTCTGATTGCATATTAGTAATTATATCCTCATTTCATTTCCTTTCCCTTTCCTTTTTCCTTTTCTGTAGCATCTTTTGTCCATTTACAATTATTATTTTTTTTAAAATAGCTTTCCCCTAGTACATAATTGATGCTTCAAACGGAATCAATTGTTTTAATGACATTTCCGGCTAAATCATGGGTTTTCCCCAGGAAGGCAGCCTCTCGTCCCTCCCGGACTCTATTGTTGCCATATAAGTTGCTTTTTTAGCACTTTTCCCAATTCAAATCCATGGAAAATATTCACATTTATCGCACAATCTGGCAACCTCTCGAGTGAAATAGAAAAAGGTAGAATCGCTGGAAGTCTGAATCCTTCGAAGTTTATATTAATGATGATGATGATGATGATAGGACGGAATAAGCCGGACGCCCGATTCCGCCGCCAATCCAAGCCCTCCCTCTACCTTCCTCACCCCATGGCGCTTAGGTCCGTTTGATAGAAATACGTCCATAACATGTAGGTAATAGGTGTAATTTTCCTCTTTCTTCTAAATATTTGGGCAAGCAATGCTTGCTTTGCTTATCCGGACTGCACGCCACTGACACAACCCCCCCCCCCCCCCCATNCCCCCCCATTATGTGTCATCATCGTTTGTGTCATCATATATATTAGGATAAGTTTGGTCATAAATGAATTTTTCAATCAAAATACCATAGTAGCGAAGTTTCAACATGAAATGTCTAGCATACTCTATCGTTGAGCACCTTTTCTTTTTACCCCCGAATATCATTTGTTTGACAAGTAATCTGAACGTGTTCCAGCCAAGTTTCAGAGTGAAGATTTAAAGATTTTTAGAATTGCTTTGTAATGAGCTGATAGGAATTTGTACGCTCTTTTAAAAAGGTCTTTTAACATTTTCCTCCAAAGTCTTTACTTAAAAGAAAAATTAGTAGGTCACTGATTATAAGAATTTTTGCCTCCGCCTTTCTTAAAACCCTTATTTTTGATCTCGAAAATTATTCTTTCGAAAATTTTGTGTAATGAAATGATAGGAAATTTTACGGCCGTTATACAAAGTCGTATGACATTTTCCTCTAAGATTGAAAGTTTTAAAGTAAAATGAGGAGAAAGGTCGCTGATCATAAGAATTTTTGCCTGCGCCCTTTTTAAAACCCCTATTTTTGGTCACGAAAATTATTTTTCGAAAATTTTATGTAATGAACCGATAGGAAATTTTACGGCCGTTATTTCGGGTCCTATGACATTTTACTCTAAGATTGAAATTTTAAAAGTAAAATGAGGAGAAAGGTCGCTGATCATAAGAATTTTTGCCTGCGCCCTTTTTAAAACCCTTATTTTTGGTCACGAAAATTATTTTTTCGAAAATTTTGTGTAATGAACCGATAGGAAATTTTACGGCCGTTATTTCGGGTCCTATGACATTTTCCTCTAAGATTGAAAGTTTTAAAGTAATATGAGAAGAAAGGTCGCTGATCATAACATTTTTTGCCTGCGCCCTTTTTAAAACCCCTATTTTTGGTCACGAAAATTATTTTTCGAAAATTTTGTGTAATGAACCGATAGGAAATTTTACGGCCGTTATTTCGGGTCCTATGACATTTTCCTCTAAGATTGAAAGTTTAAAAGTAAAACGAGGAGGAAGGTCGCTGATCGTAAGAATTCTAGCCGCGGCTTTTCTCCTCGGTGAGCCGGTGCGAGAAAAACGAGTCCAGTGGTTGAGGCGGATTTCTTGCCAAACTTCGTGAACGATCGACTATAGCTGTGTCCCCGTAAGAAGCTATGGTAATGAATCGATAGTGCGATAGTCGAACAATCGCATTCGAGACGAGTATTCGATATTCGTCCAGCTGTTTGCTGTTTCTCAAAGCCTCTGCCTTTGGAATTTGGATGTACGAATTGATGTACTGAACATGGAAAGTTTCTGAAAGTAATTGAAATTTTATGAAATTTCATCGTGAAATTTCATTTGAGAATCTTTCATGAAATTTCGCAACTCTGGGTCAAGGACAATGTGTCTTGCCGGAATCACGCTGATCTGGGGGAAATTGGTTTTTTCCTCCGACCAATCCTGTTGTTTACTTGTTTATCAATAAATATGAAAGTCTGTCAGTCAAGTCTTGAAAGCTCGTCATGCAAGCGCCGCATTGTAAAGAAATACTTGTAATTTCTGTGGAGTATCTTTTTTAAACTTTTTAAACTCTTTTTTAGTAATTTTCACTATGACCAAGTGTATGAGAAACATTCAAAATTTAAAAACCTACGTTTCTTCTCTTATTTGTGATGGTAAGATGATTACGACAGCCCAGCCTTTTTTCTTATGAATGTCTATTTTGAAAATTTTCTATAAAAAAACTCAGAAAGTGCAAAGTGCTTGCATGGTGTTGAATGCTACTTTCCATATTTCATGACCGTTGATTTGCTTTCAGTCTATTAAACTGTCAGCATAACTACATCAAGAAAAATGAGCAGGACAGTGAGATGTTGCGTTTGTCTTCCAGCATGTGAATAGCCCGATCGAGTCCACGCTAATTAAGTTTACGTACTTCTAGACTGCAACAGAAGATCATCTGACGTCACTCTTACTTATAAAGTCAATGGAGGAATCAAAATGACGGATCCTCTGTTGCAGTCTGAAAGTGTGAACATTTTTCCAGTGTGGACTCTACTCGGTTGGATTTATCAATCAGTGATCCACTTATTTGAACCAATTTCTACAAGTGCATCACTGTCTTATCCTGGATAAGACCATACTACCAGCACTGCCACCTTTGATGTTCGTCACTTTATTTTTCCAATATTTTCACTGTTAATGAGTGTAGAAATTAGCCGTTGAAAAGGTTTTACAGCATTTCACTATTCATGTGATTAAATCATCTTAAAATGATCAGATGACTAGCACAACGAGTGAGTCATTTGTACATATTAGTTAACATGGAAAGAGCTGCCCCATCACAAGTTTCTCAAAACATCCTTTATCTAACAATCTTGTGATGGCAACAACTACATTCTTTCCTTATTCTCTTACCATGAGGAATTCCAATTTTTGTGTTAGGAATACTTTTCATTGATAGACCTTGCATTCAATTTCTTTCATTTTTACACACCATCGACTAATGACAAGGTGTCATTAATTTTTCAGATGACTTTCAGAAGTTTAAGCTACTAGGCCAGGAGCTAGGCGGCAACCTTCTCATCAGCTGGCTTCACTACGATGAACATCAGAATCCTGTCACTTCAATTGGACTATTGCACTCTGAAAACAACCAATTGAAAGTATGTCTCTTACAGGAACCCTAGAAATATTTGATCTGATCACCGAAGTAGTCCTTTTAAACGGGAACGGTAGCACAGTTTTGCTTTTTGCGCTATTATTAAATTTTAACTCAGTTAGTTTCAGTTCAAAATCTACTGAAAAAATAGCATATGAGATCATTAGATCAGTGAAAGAATAGGTTGGCTTTGGTAGTAGAATTTCTGAAAAATCGATTTTTCAGAAATTGATTGAATTGATCAGTAATGAACTGAGTTAGCTGAAATGATACCTACTTTGAAATTAATCTACTTCCCATAAGAAATGCCCAGTATGGAAAATAAGTACTTTTTGATGACTCATCATTAGACAAGGTGTGTTTAAATTTTAGCATTCAAATTTTTTTGAATCAAAACTTTTTTCTCATCAAAATTTCATGTTACTTAAACTTGATTTGTACAATAAAAATGGGTCACTAAACCTTGTATATTTTATTGAATATTCTGAAAGTACTATGTGAGGAGATAACGTGGTGATTTTTCCACATTCTCATGGAGCCAAAATCGCGGAGAAAACCGCTTTTGAAAAATCTAAAAACTGCAAGACATTTCAAACGCACCCGAATGGCGGGAAACTGACGCGGTTGATGTACTGCGGTAGTCATATCGCAATCTTCTCTCATTTTCTTCTGATATTTGTTAAAATAAAACAAAACGTATTTTAATGTGGACTTGTTGCTTGTTTATTACAGCTAACATATGAATGAGATTCTAGTCTTAAATTCAAAAGATATAATTTCGACTTCAGTATTGTTCTCATATACGAAGAGTAGATAGACATTTGACGGACGTCGTGGAAACCCGTGCCCGCCTCTGATTAGTGCCGGATGACATCATTCGGTGCGGCGCGAAACCAGGGCGTTTTAAATTTGCGTATAAGTTGAGCGATTTTAACTGCGCATTGCTCGGTAATTGAGTTACTTGTTCGCGTTTTTGATGTTTGCATAGCGTTATACGCGTCATTTTCCTTCAGAAAACTATATTCGCAAGTCAAAATTCGTTCATGGTTTAGTGACCCATTACTAAAATTCACGCCTCAGGAAGATATTAACTTTTCCGATGCATAAATTCAAACTTCCTGACCATGAAAAAAACCATAATCTACTGGAGTTATATCGTACTATGAACATTGCAGTGTGGAAACATGGCAGCCTCTCTCTTAGCACTTTGGCTCAGCTGTTGCCCATTGTTAGTCGTGTGTCAAGACGTAATAGGAATGTTTCTTGACCAAAGTCTACGCAAACTGTTACAGTGCACAATTTGATTCATCTAGCATATCTGGTTTATCTAGCTGGTTTTTGATGTAAGCAGGAATTTGTAATGGTCCTTCACTAATACTGAGTAAATAAAAATGTTAATGTCTTGGCTTAGAAGTTTATTATAGAATTTTTTTCCACGTCAGATTTTAAAGAGGCTGTCTATCTCAGAATGCTTCAATTTTTACCTTGTCTAGTGGTCCATTGTGCCAGGAAAATTGTCTATGATGCTCCAGGAATTATTGATATCTTTACTTTCAAAATTTAACATTTTCTTAAAGGTATAATACCTTAGCTGAAAAGTATGGACAGGCTTATCAAAATCAGTCTTTCGCAATGGAAATTTTCAATTTTTTGACAATTTATACTATCAGGCTTTCATGCTCTGTCGTTTTTTTCAGTCTGTATGCACCTTCCAAGGGAAAATAAATTTGATTCAAGCTTCAATCACCTTTAACAAGTCTTTTATCTGTAAGTCATATTTTCTGAAACATTTTTATGGCATTGATTCAAATAGTGTGCTTTTTTTTATGTCTCCTTTCATTTATCATCAATTGCAATAGTCATTGAAAGTTGTCATTAAAGATTTTGTGCTTGAATCTTAAAACATTAACTTTTTTCTAATTCCTATAGCTTGCTTATGATTTATAGTTTTAGAGTCAGTTCATTCAGCCATGAAATCCACCTGCTCAGATTTGGTTGAAATTTCTCTTTGCCAATTTGAATCTATGAAAAATGACTCAATTCAGTTTTGTAGTGTAGTAAGTCGAAACCTATGTCATTTAGGAAATAGCCTTTAATTTACTGCTTATGAACCCAAAATGCATCCATTTCATCGAAGAAAATTCACAATTTTAATCTTATCAACGAATGCTATTTAAATGTCGAAAGCAAACTGATAAATGCAGCTAGTTTCCGCAAAATAATTATTTTGGCTGAGACAGAGTTTAACAATTGATAAATGACGGAATTTTCAACATAGGATGCGACAATACTGCATAGAATCGAAATATGTAGGCACTAATTACAAAAAAAAAAATTCTGGCAAATCTGTGGTAGTCTCTTAGGCAAATTAGTCCTCTTAGCAGTGGTTTTAATACCTGCATGTTGAATTTTTAACAGCCGACAAGATCTCTTTTTCTGCCGGATGGTTACATTTAAGCAATACATTTTTGGTGGGGATTCTTGTAACCAATTGAGAGTAGCCTTTTAACCACCTCCTCTTTACTTTTCCCAGCATTCGTAACCAAAGAAGTTAGGAACAGCGGCCGCACTTCAGATGAAGAAATACAAGATGTTAGTAGTGATTCAAACTCAGCTGAAAAGCAGCAATACAGCGCATTTTGTTTTAAATTGGACGAAGATTCAGCCGTTGCTCGTACCTTGGATGACTCAGCTCTTATCCTTCCGTCTCAGTCGCGACAAACATTTGTTCAATTCTTATACCGCCAGAAACAACCTACAACATCTGAACGACTTTTAGTTTTTACCCATCGAGAAGGTAAGAGGACATGCTCTCAACAAGTAATTCTTTGATCCAGGTGAAGGCTCTTTTCTTATGCACGCACAACTTTTTTGCATGGAGAGAACTAATGAAAAAGCTGCGAGCTTCACATGAATTTATCGCCTTTGCTGGTTTTATTTTGGCTGCAGAAATTTATGCTCGCAGAATTTCACTTTTTTTGAGAGACCTTTTCCTCTCTTGTATCAAATGTTCACCTTTGTTTGGCTGAATCAAATGTTCGGAAAATTTTCTATTTTTTGTCCAAAGTCTGCAAGTTCATCAAACCTTTAATTATTTAATGAGGAAACATGTGTAACTGATCGCAAAGCACAGCAATGCTTTCTTACCAAAGCTTAAAATGAGTAGTGCAGTTCACAAAACACGTCCTTGTGCTTCTCTCACCCTAATCATCATCAGTCTTGTTGAAGTATAAATTATTGCTCAATTTATGATTATTCTTTACCTTATATGCTGCTGTGCCAAGGAAAAGCTGCACATGACCGGATGTTGCCAAAATTCTCTTTGTAAAACATTCATTTTTTAGGACATTTATGAATATTCTTCCTTGAAATTTTCCCTTACCTATTATAGATTGAATTTTGAGTGACTTTCTCAGAAAAATTCAGAGAAAAATATCCATTAGTTTCAGTGAAACTTAGTATTTTATTCGAAGAAATTTGGCAATGCCTAAAAGCTCATATGGCGTTTTTTTCCTAGCGTATCAGTATGCATGGTGGTTTAGTAGCATCATCACTCTTGGAAGAACATTTTAATTGATTATGAACAGTAAATGTCATCATCAAAGATCTGCCAAAGGGGTCGTAGAATTTTGTGAAATTTCTGTTAATGATGCATTTTCTCATCTTTTAGCTGCGTCAATATATGTGGTGGACTCAGAAAACTCAAGCCACGAGGTAAAAAACTATCATGAAATTAAATTTTCAATTATAAGGTGCCATCGTTGGGAATCGAACCAATATTTTTCTTCAGGGCCCAAGTGCTAAAATTTAAGTTTCAATAAAAAGGGAGAAACTGTGCAATCCGGCATGGGCTCAATTTTTCGTTTTAGAATACCTACTGAGACTGAGCTCAAAAAATTGAAAGCCTGCCGAATGGCACTATCAGGCAATCCAAAATATTATGTAGGTATGCCCAAATAAGTTTGTACTAACATTGCATGGATTCATTATTTCTAATGATTTGCTGCTTGTTTTCTCTTTCTTGGGATGGAATCACCCTTCTCTTTCACTTATTGGCTTCTTTCCCCTTCAAAAACCAACATCCATTATTTTTAATTAATATTGTATTCCTTTCCAGTTGGTTTTTTTTCCTAGACACTTTTAATTTGAGATCTGCAACCCAGAAATGAGGTTTTGTGCTCTTTCAGGAGTACATAAAGAAATCAATCAATGAATTCTAGAATACATGTTGATATTTTACACCATAATGCTCGAAGTCAAAACATTGTCCATGTCAAATTAATTCACCTTAACTTTAGACTAAGACAGAAGATTTTCCATCTTGACTCTTGTATCTACTTTGAATGCTAAACTGAAGGCAGCTGATCTTCTGTCGCTTTCTAAAAATGTGTAATCTTATTTTGTGTAGATTCTTGTATGAAATTGTAAAATCTGATCCCAACTTTTAAATTCACCCAGTAAATGTGGAAAATACAGACCTCCCTATTCAACGTGTTGAACTAATGTCATCATCAGTTGCGCACTTTGTTAATACATTATATTCTCGTTGAAAATTATCTATATCTATCGTTGACATCAACATTTTGTTTCTAATAATGCAGAAGCATGATGTTTACTGATTTGCCATCACCAATGATATTAGAGGCTCCTTTTTTTTACGAGGACGAATGTTACTCCTATCATTTGCAGTCAACCTCTGGTCCAAACTGTGAATCTTTTTATTCGTATTCTTGTTAAAAATTTCACTCCAATACTGAAATTGCTCTTAAATTTTCTTATTTTACTGCTATAACTGAACCAGAGTCTGCTTAAATGCGTTTCACTGTGTCTAAATTTCTCTTTCTTTCTTTTTAAACAGAGAATTAATTAGCGTTTTGGCGTAATTCTTTTTTGGAATTTTCCTATGATTGTTGAGAGTATACTCTCAAAATTGTAAGTCAGAATATGGCTTATATTTTTAATGAAGGAGTAAATAAGAAGGAGTTATTAAGCAACTCCTGATTAGGCTGATTCTGATCAAATCTGCAAGCCAATTATTGGAATTGATAAACAAAGAGACAAAAAGACAAAGGAAAAATGGAGCTATCAACATCCTATCGGAGGAAGCAGTTGATTGCAATAGATAAAGGAGGTAACTAATAGACTAACAGCTACTGGAGAGAAATCCTATATTTAGTCCATCATCTCTTCGCTTAGTCTATAAGAATCACCCGTTTCAACCAATAGGATTGTTCCCTGCCCTCTTTGTCTATCACTTAGTCTCTCAATTCCAAAAATCAATCCTATTTCTAGTGGGTTGAAAGAAAGGATCTGTGAAGAGTGGAAAAAGGAACATAAGAATATGTAGCAAAGCAAATTCAAGTAAGGTGATTCTTCAGTGGGATTGTACAAACTATACTAAATCTTCATTCACGCCCATTTTAGGTTGTAAGTTTGAAACTCAGTGAACTCTTGGTGCAATCTTTCATCTGGATTCAATGGGATCATGATTCTCAGACTTTGTATTACATCAGCCATAGAAAAGCACCAAAATTTGATAATGGAACCCCATCAAACGCTCCAATCACACACAAACAAGAAGTGCCTCCGATTCTGTCTGCACTCCAATTTCATGATGATCTACCATTCGAAACTGTTGTATGTACCAATGAATCAAAACAAATACTTTGAACATTACAAATATTTTTACATTGATTCCAATGAGTTGTGTAAATGTAACCTCCTTAGATCCTGGCAACCAATATAACAAAGTCCCTCCTTTCTCAGAAAAGTGGAGTTCACGCCAGATACGTTTATGCACTTTTACACTGCAACAGAAGATCTGCTATTGAGATTCCTTCATTTACTTTACATGTAAAAGTGACAGATGATCTTCTGTCGCAGTCTAAAAGTGAGTGAACTTATTTGGCGTCAACTCTAATGATAATGAATAATAAGGTACATGGTAACATGTTTGTATTTATTTTTTTAAGTCATCAATATGCAGGAAAAATTATGAGAGAATGGAAAAAATTATCTTCGTTGAGAGCTCCTACTATTAAGTATTAATCCTCCACCGGTAAAACCGTTTAAATATTGGCTAGAAGTTTGTTCGAATCTTTTTTCTCAATTCTAATTATGAAATGGAGAAATAATGCTAATCAGACATTTGTGTTTTCAGTTGAACATTCCATTTACACTGCCAGATCAAGTGAATTTTATACCTCCATGCAATACGTACAAAGATAATCCAATACCGCTGAGAATCAGTGACTGCTCATTGAATATTTCTGTCGTCTCCAATCCAATGGGAGCTGTTGCAATTTGTCATCACTATGTCTATCAGGTCTGTCTATTCGAATGTTGTCTATATTTTTATTTAAAGACTTTTTTGGTCACACTTCATCTCAAAAAATAGAAAATTACGTGTACTTTGTTAAAGCTCTTTCCCGCTATGCCCACCCAACAAGTGCCAAAAACAACATCATGAGAATGTTGCAAAAACATTGCTGCAACCTCAATTTTGGCAGTAACGTTATTACAACGTTTTTGTGACCACTTTTTGCTAGGAGTGTGATCACTAGCTTGTCAAACTGACAGCTTTCATTGTCAGTTTCCTGAACTACTTTTGGCGGACTTTCAGACAAGTTCACCCACATATATGTATTATTGAGCATGTGCTCGAGTAAAAATTTGTCTTTTAAGCAAAGACAGAAAATATGAGGAAGTGAATTGAAAAATGAAATTTTCGATGTTGGAATGTATGTATGATACATATATATGTCTTGCTCTACCAATTTCTCAGTTTTTATTCTGTCAGGTTCTTCTTTGGGCTTTGTAATGTGTGCATTAGAAAATGTAGATCTTATGTGGCAACTATTCAGAACTGTCTCTAAAAATTTTCATAAAATGAAACAATTAATAATTCTGTTTAAATTACTTTTACATTGCAGCCGGTAACTTCATCTTGCGATAAAGCTCCTATCGAACTCAAGAGTGACAGTGAAGTTTATCTTGCCTATTCCATAATTTTACTTCATCATGGAAAGTTGATGCACTGTGATATTTCCGATATACCTTGGACAGTTGCTTCTTCTGTTCATCCTGTCTTCTCCATGCAAGAAGGTAATTTTTTTTTTGTCAAATGTTGTTATTTTATGGGCTGTCTATAAATTACATTATGCTATTTGAGATTTTAGACCCTCTTGGTGCCATGCGCCCATTGCCCAAATCGAAGCCTACTCTGAAAAATTACATCTTGCGTTATTAGACCACTCTTTATGAGAAAAATTAATATTTCTGCCAGATGTAGCAAAAAATTATTAACAAAATTGAGAGCAACATTTGCAGCAAATGAAATTCATGTACAGTTGACTTACTTCCACACAATAGTAGGGAAAAATTCAGCGTAGATTCAGGGTAAATTTCGTGGCAGTTTTTGAATAGGTTACTTGTGTAGAATAACAAACTAAACTGCACAATTCTAAAAGAATTGGATGCCTTATACGCTCTTTTACAGAATAAGTCCTCAATTGTTTTCATATACCAATTTTTGTGTGGAGTCAGGAAGTATTTGACCAGTGCGTGTTAATGATCAGTTTATTAATTAGTAGCCAACAAAGGGTAGTCCCACTCTAACTTAGATGTTTTTAAGTTAATTTAATTTGATTTAATTAAATATTTAATGTGATTAAATTTAAGCTATATTTGAAAATTTTGGTTCTAAAACTCAAGAGTTTGTGTAGTTGTAACAAAGAACTGCTAAACTGTTGAATGATGATTTGTTTGCCATTTGTTTTTCTCTAACTTTCACTGTTTTATCATGTTTCAGATCAATATGTGATAGTGTACGCACCAAACCTTTTTATACACCTGTTGGACGTTGGCCTACACCACGAGCCATGTTGCCATATTATGTTACCAGCTGTGAACGCACAAGAAAGCTCCAGCTCTCAGCAACTGTCTGTGCTGAGTGGAAATGTAATAATAGATTGTGAAACATTCAATATAATCGATCTACCTATGTCTACCTCAGTTCTGGAGCAGTTTTTCAAATCCCCAGATACCACCGTGTTTAACAAGATATCCATATTGCACTATTTTTTGGTACATACAAATTCCCTTGATGTCATTTCCAGGGTAAGTCTAAAATCAGTTTTTGGGGACTTTAATTAGTTTATAACTAAAAGAAAACTCTGGAATGCTTCCAGAGAGATGAAACAAGAAATTGTGAAGAAAATTTTGAACTATAACTGTAGGAAGTCGAAAAATAAAAAAAAATTCTGATCACAAAACTTTGACAAAAAATTGAGAACCAGGCCTTTATCTTTAGGTGATTCTCAAATCAATGTACACCTTCTTTTTCCACCATGCCTACTCTACAGGATTATGGACAGAATAAATCATGAAATTTCGCATGTAATGTAAAATATAAATTTTATAAGGTAAAAGTTTTGAAGTCAATTTTGAAATACAGAAAAAGAAGAATTTTTCTTTTTCCACGGCAGCTTGGGTGTTCTTTTCGTTTTTGTTCCATCAAATCCAAGGTTTTAGCAAAATGGAATGGATACATGCATTCTGCTGTTGAATCATCTCAAGAGATCTGTTGTCATGTCTTGAGAATCAAGATTTAAAATAAATAAATTTACATGTAAAAATATGTAAATAATGTAAAAAACTTTATGGATCTTCACCTAAAATTGCAATCATCCGAGACGGTGAGCATTTGCTTTTTTCTGGAAGGTTGTCTATAAATATGCAATAACATCTCACTCACTAGTAGTAGTCACAACTTCTTATCATCAAAATGATTTAATTATAATTGTTTTTTATAGCCTTTTGATATTTTTCATGTTGCTCTGTGTTTTAAGTTACTGGATACGATGGTCAGTAATATTTTGGACATCAACATAACAAAAATGCTACAAGAAATCTTGATCGGTGGGACGTACAGTGCCGTTGGACGAAATTTGTCTACCGATGCTTTGCCCCTTACAAAATTACTACCTCTCACCACAAATCAAACAGGATCACTGAAATTTTTTGTAAGTCATTCTCATTTAGCCTGTGCCACAATATCAAAATACTCCATAAAAATGTCAAGGACAAGTGCTGTAATTGGTCCAAGTCATCAAATAAGCCAATCACAACACCTGACCTTTATATTTTGATGCCTAGCTTTGATAGTGTGACACATGCTTTTCTTTGACTGTGCTTCATTCTTCGATCATCTGACTTTCATAGCAAAAACCTCTTTTTCTTTTCTTCTTATGAATTTTTTTTGGACAAAAATAATTTGTCAAAATTTTGCCTCCTGTTGGTCTGTCTTGCTGTGCTTCTGTTCCCTATTTTTCTTTTCCTAAAAATTTTCCTAAAAATTGCATTTTTTTCCAAAAAATGAGCAGGTTTTTTTTTTTTTTTTTTTTTTTTTTTTTTTTTTTATGGGAATGCCAAAGGAAGCAAGTAGATCATTGCATACTAAGTGCATATAAAGGGACATTTTGCCTATGTTGATAATTAAAGAGCCTCGCCAAAAAGTTGTGTTTTTTAGCCCCTTTTTTTATACCCGAGTTGGTCAACCGGACAGTGCTCAAATGAAAGCCTATGGTAAGGCAAACTTCCATGCAAAGTTTCAACTTGAAGTGACCCCTCGTTTAGGCTGTGAAGCGTTGCCAATTTTCCAGTTTCATGTGCCAAAATTAAGGATATTGGACTATTAGTCCTGTGCATAAATAGACTAGTACACCCGAGTTGGTCAACGGGACAAGGCTCAAACAAAAGATAATGGTAAGGCAAACTTCTAGGAAAATTTTCAACTTTAAGTGAAACCTCCTTTAGGCTGTACAGCGTTGCCAATTTTTCATTTTTATGCACTATACTCAAGGAATACTGGATTCATCATGGTTGAACAGACTAGTATACCCGAGTTTGTTAACCAGACTAGGCTCATACGAAAGAATATGGTAAGGCAAACTTCCAGGAAAAGTTTCACTTTGAAGTGAAACCTCGTTTAGGCTGTACAGCGTCGCCAATTTTCCATTTTTATGTGCTAAAATCAAGGAATTTGGGACTAATAGTCTAGTGCATCATAATTAAACAGACTAGTGCATCTAAGTTTGCCTTACCATAATCTTTCGTTTGAGCCTTGTCTCGTTGACCAACTCGGGTGTACTAGTCTACTTATGCACCGGACTAACAGTCCAATATCCTTGATTTTGGCACATGAAACTGGAAAATTGGCAACGCTGTACAGCCTAAACGGGGGGTCACTTCAAGTTGAAACTTTGCGTGGAAGTTTGCCTTACCATAGGCTTTCATTTGAGCACTGTCCAGTTGACCAACTTGGGTATAAAAAAAAGGGGCTAAACTTGGCGAGGCTCTTTTACATTTAAACTCTAGGATAAGATGGAGCCTTGGAAAGAAATCCAATCAATCAATTTAAAAAATGTAAAATTTGTGAAAGTCAAAGAGCAGTTTAAGCCTGAGTCCAATCCTTATCATGATAAAAGTTGATTCATCAACCGTTCAGTTTTTCCCTCAAAAGCCTCCACGATTTTCCTCTGATCAAAAAGACAATTGAACCGATATTTTTCTTCTAAAATCCAAGTCTGGAGGAAAATTGAAAATAATGTGCTATCTGGCGTGCGTTCAATCTTTCAAGTCCAATTTCAAAAGGTATCCTTCAGCTGCGTACATTTTTCGGGCTCAAAATATTGAGAGCAATTTGAATTGCAGTTTTCTACATTTTCTGGAATTGGGTAACTCTCAAGCAAAATATCGGTTCAATTCTAAATACAAAAGGAAAAATTGATATTCTGTGACAACCACAGAACCACGTTTCTTTTTTTTTTTATAAATTAGCCTTTTCCGTTTCAAACATTTCTTCCCCAGTTAGCCGTAGTGAACATTCGTAGTTCTGTTAGTTTTCTTGGCCTGTAATGATCATTGTGTCTGATCTTGTCCATGCCCTGTTCTCGTATTGCTGCCAAGCATCAAAGTAATTACCCACAGGTCTCCATGTAACTAATCTTAGTAGAGCCAGTATTACTTTCATGTAAACGCCTAAACCTTTTTTTTTAATCTTCCATTAATGTTTGTTACAGCTGCCAGGAGAACACTCAGTCATCATAACGTACGAAGCGTTGAATGATCCCTCTGTAATGTTACTGTCGCCCAGTCAAAGAGTTGTTCCTTACAGGGGTGATATGTGGACCAGACTTTGGGATGCTATTCCTGTTAATCCAGTCTCTCGCTTTAAACCATCAACAGTGGTCGACAAACTCACCGTATCCTTAGTCTGTTATCAGGTGCTCACATCTTTTTAAGAGTCAATTCTGTTTTAATACGAGTTTTATAATCTTTGCTGCTACAATGTTTTAATATTCGAAAAATTTAAAAAAGGGAAAGTAGCAAACACCAAAGTCTATGTTTTCAAAATTATTTACCTCATAAATTGATAGTTGTAAAATCAGTGTCAATTGTATATCAGGAACTTGTTTAGAAATATTCGTCTGCATTCCTCTCATCTTTAACATTTCATGAGAGAACAAACTATTACTTACCCTCCTTTAACAATCGTCATTTATAGGAGGTTTTTCTGAATAAAATTGGAATAACGATTGAATAATTTTTTTATCAAGACAGATATACCAAGAGTTCTTCCGTCTAAGTTCTACTTATACTTCCATATTGAATAAAAATAATCTGAGCATCAACATGTCTAAATCTTTAAATAATTGATCACTTATCTTTGTCCATGTTTTCCAATATCTGTATTCACAGTGAAAGATTTTGTTTTTGATAAAAATAGAAATTGAAAACTAGCTGTGAATTTGTCATTTTTGGAAGAAGAATTAAAATATTTTCAGTGTAGTAATGGTGAGTCCACATTAGTCGTTCATTTCCAAGCCGGAAAAAATTCTTGAAATACGGTAAAAAAACTTCAATCTTAATTTTCTTCAATTTTTTCACCTAGCCGGAGGCATTGTCTCGCTGCTGCACTCCATTGTCTCCTGGCACAGCTATGGTCGGAGCTAGTGGAACTTTAACTGATTTTGCTCAAATGTCAGGCAACCTTCGCTCCAATAGTAAAGTGGGCATTGATCCTCTTCCGTTTTTTGAGGTCAAAAGTAGCGCTGCCAGCAAGCAAGAACACGTCATATCCGTGGTGAGAACAATATTTCAAGCTTTTAAAGAAAGAGAGCTTATAATTTGACCCTAATAGTTTCTCAGGGTGAAATCATATGTCTACGTTAATTTTGCAGTAAATAGTCAATTCTTTTGAAACTCTTCATTTCAACTATTTAAATCTATATCAATCATCTGTTGGACTTCAAAAAAAGTTTGAGTTACATTCAAATCACTTTCTTTCAATCAGATCTGCAACAATGCGCATCTACAGGCTGATTACTAAATAGTGCATTTGCCGGGCAGACATAGATTACTCAGGAGAAATGGTGAAGTGTGATTGCTTGGTTATGTGTTATCGTTACTTTGTCGTGCCTATGTTGAGTAGAATTAACGACTTGTCATATGGAACTCAAGGGGTGCCTTTAGCTTGTCATCAATTCTATCCTACATAGGCAATGAATGTAGCCATTAGACATATCCGACCGATCATACTACACCATTTCACCTTTTTCATGTATGTCAGCCTGACAAACTCTAAATTTCAAAAATTGGCCTGCAGAAAAGTAAATAAAAAACCCTAAGGCTTACATTCCTGAATTCAAATTTGGAAATCCAGCCAGATACAATATAATTATTTGTAGGGAATCCGCTTTCCAAAGAATCTATGAAGAAACTGATGAGGTACAAGTCAATTCCTAGGGGCCAAAACTATTTTTTGGCTAAATATTGGTTCATGAGAGACTTTTTGAGCACTTCCTGTGCCCAAAGATGACTAAAGAACAGTGTTAGAAACTCACAGGTGCCAACGCGCCAAATGCGCGTAAAAAATCAGCCATGGCGCCTAAAAAATGAAGGCTCTGCGCCAACGTGGCCCCTATAAATTGCCCCTTAAAAATCTGAATTTTCTTATTAGGTGATTATTCGAAATTTTCAGCACTGCAAGTGAAAGCTTTTTCTAATCTTCATGATTTCATCCTTAGTGCTTTTGTCTTCCCCTTACATCTACTTACTAGTTCTGTTACGAAAATATCTTACGTCTAATTTTTCACTAAATATGTCGTAATATATAGGCAAAAAGTCAATTTGGCCCCTAAAAAATCTTCAGTGGCGCCTAAAAATCAGGCTGAATGCACCTTATGGCTCCTAAAAGTCAAAGGTGAGTTTCGAACACTGCTGGTGAATGTCAACTTCAGAAGTTTGTCAAATTACGTCTGGACTGTTCAACTGATTGCTCAACTTTTTGCTAATCATTATTGCCTCATTTACCATTTTATTTTTTAAAATTTTTCTACTAGTAACTAAAATTAAGCTAGGTATCCTTTCTTTTTTGAAGCAATTTTCCTCAAATAACTGTCAAATAAGATCGAAAACAAAGAAAGTACCACATTAAATAGAATGGAAATCGCTAAAAAACTTAAACTTTTCATACTTAGGTATTTCTTTATCGGTGCATCCTGGAGAGTCTGCAGCCTCCTCCCCTCAGCAGTGATAGTGTGACTTCTATTACCTTTCGAGAGGGAGGGCAGTCAACCCCCCAAAATGAAGCACAAGGAAAGGTACCAGCAAGGAAATTTTAAGTCTCTCAAGTAGAGCAAGTCAGATTCCCATTAAGTTCAATTTTTCCATCCCACCAAATAACATTTCATTCAAGAAGCTTAGAAATTTCCGCTATAAAATATCTGACACTCCTTCATTTTTCTTGGTCACAATAAAACACAACAGATACTATGTTCGGAGCTTCGTCAGATTATGTAATTCTGAGAATTTACAACCCAAGATTTCATTGGCTTTATCTGAATTTCAATTGTTAAAACTTCAATCGAATCCCTTTCCCTTCATTTTTTTGATTTGTGTTGATACCAGAACTTGAGAGAGCTGAGCATGTATCTCTTGAAGAACTTCAAAGTGAGCGGAAGTTTCAGGATTCGAGAATGTCCGATGCAGGTTCATGCTGTTGCGACACGTTATGCTGCTTGTCAGTTAGATCTTTCTCGTTTTGTTTGTTCCTCACTGACCAAAGCCTCAGCCGTGAACACCTATGTTGACCGTGGTCTCTCTTTAATGTAAGTTAGATTAAAGGTTATTTTATTGCATCTTTTGACCAGTTACAAGAATTGCAAGAATCAAGCAACGAAAAGTGAAACTCTCTTTTGTTGCAGGTGGGAAACAAATCGATGGTGTAACTCTCGAACCTCGTATCTCGACTTGCGATGTTGCTAACTTCCTGCCATACTTTTAAGTGGAAAAGAACTCAACTTCAATTCTTGAGAACTTCCGTGATTTTTCCTCCGTGAAAAAAAAACTCTGTGAAAACTTCAAGAAATTATATTGATTTGCTCTCCTTCAAAAAAACAAAATGGGAGCAGAGATTTTTAAACACCGCTAACGAGATACGTCGTCTGGTAGTTTCACCATTGAAATACAGAAACTGTTAAAAATTGCTTTGGGCACACATTAATTGTATCTCATTTGCAAAATGCCCATTGGCTGTAGTTTGGGTTACACTCGAAAGAGGTGAGCGTGGCTTTAGCTTCAAGAACAGCACTTAAAAAACTAGTAAATTTTAGAATGATCATCTTGTAAGTGGTTTATTTCCTAGCCAGAGGACAGGAACCACGGTGTTTCTTGAAAGTGCAAAGCAGAACAAAAAAATCTTTTCAGCAAGAGCAGATACCAGGTATTACTGATGAGGAACAATATTTAAAAGTTGTAGGGAAATTCTATGATAGAATTTAATGTCCAGTCTTCAAACTACTTTTAAATCTTCAAAACTCTGGTCTACCTGACCATTTAATGCAACTTTTTTCCTCCAGAAATAATCAGGGAGCATCAGAAGTTGTCTTATTGGATTACTCCTATCCTAGTCTTTAAAATTTTAGTGTCTTTTGAGCATATTATGCTTCTAAACTTTTCCTGAAGTTTAAAAAAAGGTTGAAATCAATAAATGCTGAGTTCAGAGACTTTTTAGCGAAGAAATCCACTACAAGAAAATTTCGGAAAAAAATTCCCACAAATTTTACAGTCTCTACTATGTCATGTTGTAGTGAAGATAGCACAAAAATTTATTTTCAGTTCCTGAATGTAGATTTTCTTTTCAAATGATTTTACTTTTTTTGTCTCATCAGTAACAAAACCTGAAATTTTGGCACTGTTAATTTTCAGCGACTCAATGAAACCAGCTCACAGAAGTGTCTTCTTCATTGTCTTGGAGCGTTACGCACTGGCTGTGGAGCAGTTAGCGTACCCATTCCCTGAAGGCTTCCCATCGTTTTTCACTTATCTAGGCTACAAATCTCTGACCCCTGGCATGTTCTTACAGTATGTCCGTGCGAATGTTCTTGAACTAAATGTCGATGTGATGAAAGTCATCATGGCAGGTAATTGTCTTGCGTATTTTCATCAAATAAATTTTTGATTCAGCAATGTTTTTCATTAATCTGCAGGGTGTATTGTGAGTGATTTTATTTCAGGTAGTATATCACATAAATTACGATGGGTGCTATGGTATGTTTATGGGCAACCAGTGCAAATTTGTTGTGGTTCTGATTGGAGCAGAGAGGAAGAAAATATATCATGCTTCAACGTTGTGGATGATATTATTAAATGCGTTCTCTAAAAAGCAATTGTTTTGGCATTACTGGCTACAGAAACTAGCTTTTGGCTTTTGATCAATCTTTTTTTTTTCTCAGATCTTCTATAGAGTTCAACTGTTCGGCCACTATTCTATGACACATGGCATTCTATGCTTAATAATTCCCTTGCAATAGACAAATCTCAAGGCAGGGTCTGAATTTAAACAATATGGTTTATGGTTTCTCACCACGCATTTAAAAGGGAGAAAAAAATGAAAATAAATTGAACTATTAAAATGTAATCACCCTCTAGTTAACCACCAAGCAAAATATAAAATTTTTTAGTCTGTACTTATCTAGGAAAATGCCAATATCTCTCGCATGCCCAAATGTTCCGTAAAAAAATCAAAATCTATTTGAATCAAATGGGTCGTAAAGAATGAAGAATGAGTTTATGTTTTTGGCTAATGACCTCGACAGACTAAGCTTAAATTGTTTCTCATTTATTATGCAAGAAATTTAAATTTGTTAAGAGAAAATTAGCTCACTAACATTATCGGTTGCAAAACATGCCAACATTAGTTCAATACGCCTTTTCACGTAAGGAGATAATTTATTTATTTATTTATTTTTCAATGACCAGAGTTTTTGTATCAGTGCATTCAAAAATATCATTGTCAGGAGGTGATTTAAGAAGTTCTCATCTTGCAATTGTTTTCTATGCAAAATTCTGATGAATATTTATCTGGTGTACTTCTGAAATTCAAATCCTGTTCAGTGATCCAACCGTTTTAAGGAAGCACCTTTAAGTTCGTTTTTGAAAAGAGAAAACTAAATCCTTTCCTCTCAATTTTTAATTAATCTGTAATTATTCTTTTCTCTTAGATTTGCCAAATAGTGCGAATGAATTAGCAATGAAGCTCCGATTACTGACTTTGCTCCCACGGTCAAGGGCGAAACGACTACTGAATCAGTGGCACCACCCAATCAGCCTCATGCTGCGCGCCCGAGAACATTCTCTCAATGTCCTATCTGGAGTTCAACTCTCGCAGATGCACCAGTATTCCCATAAGAAGTTAAATTTCACTCCTGGCAAAGGTGAGATTGTATGTAATTTGACATCCCGGGATTTCAAAAGTTTTGAGAGTAGAGGGAATGAACAAGCTAAAAATATGATTTCTAGAAGACCTTGAGGAACTTGCTCATCTGGAAATTTTCATATCCTTTTTTCCTTGCCATTTCTTCCTTTATGAGCCCCCTCTCATCACCCCTTGCATATAAAATGTTAAAACAACAGTTTAAGATCAGTTGAAATCATTTCAAACATTAAAATTAAGCATGCCTCAGGGGCCATAATGGGGCCACTATTAAAATCAAATAAGTACATAATTACATTTAAGGTATGTACCACTATGTTACCTAAAGGTATGAATGTTCTACCTCTTGTGAAAGGAACCATTTAATCGTTTTTTTTAAAAGGACAGTTCTGAGAGCATTACTTATTGGGAAGGAAATTGTAACATACTCTTTAGCACAAAGAAAATAATGGAATTATCAGTATATTGTGGATAGCAATGTGAAGTCAAAAAACTTACTACACCCCTGACGCAATTGTTCCTACTTTTCAACATTTCTCTCCAGAAGTTTAAAAAAAAACACTGAACTTGACATTACATACTGAGGCTCATTAAAATTGATTTTAAGTACAAAGACTACGTCAACATTTTTCAGTTCTCTGGCAAGTATCTTAATGGAGAAGAAAAAAACGAAATCTCGTAAAAGACTATTTTAATAATAAGGTGTGTGTGGTTTTTTTTTTTTCATTTATTTTTTTTTCTCTGTGTATTCCCTTCTTTGAGGAAAGGCATAGTAATGCTTCAAAATTAATCCCTACAAAAATGTATTTATTTTTGTAGGTTTACAAGTTCTCGCATCACATGATAAATCATCACCCTTGGATACATTCTTCGATTTGTTGACTGCAAAAGGTTAGTCATAATGATAAAACTTGAGGTGAATAAGATGCTTCAGAATAAAGTCAAGTTTTTCTGAATCACATTTCATTTTTTTTTCTGTTTTCTCCTATAAAATTCTCTGAAAAATTGTATATTTCAGTGAATATGTTAAGTTTTTCAATGTTCCGTGTGCATGATAAGACTTTAAAATTTGGCCATCCTTTGCCTAGTGTAATAAAATTTAGCGACAAGAAGGTTTAGTAAGTGAATGTACAAAATATTCAGAGTGCACGCAGGTGGGGCAAAAATGTTCTTCACATTTGTTGACACCAATTTTTAAGTTAGAGGTGAATTCTAGATCTCACTGTTCTACCAGCCTCTGGTAATTTTTGAGTGATTCTCTCGTGGAGCGGTTCCTATTTGGCCGTATTTCTGCCAAACGGAACTATGTACATTATGACGTGAGCCCTGGTATGCATATATTCTTCTAGGTCTCAGGGCTCATGTCTTAATGCACGAGGTTCCATTATGCAGAAATACATCTATTTTATTACTAAGTGAGATGTACCTGCTTTCTATTTTTAAAATGTTCTCAATTTTGAATTGTTTGGAAATTCAAGGTAAACACCCATTTAATAAGATGGGAATTGCTAAACTTAAAAAAAATTCGAACTTTCCTCACTTATTTCTGTATTTACACATTGTTTTGGAGGGTCTGCCGCCTCCCCTCTCAACAGTTAGCGCGACTCCTAACATCGCTGAAGAGGGAGGGTGGCGGATCCTCCAAAACAACGTTTGGATGAAGAAATTAATGAGGAAAGTTAAGGTTTTTAAGTTTAGCGATTCTTATTTTATTTAATTTAAGATTTTCATTGTTTTCAGCCTTGTTTAGTGATTATTTTAAATTCACATCATTTTACTCCTCAGTTTCAAAAACCTAACAGATGGTGTGCCATCAAAAAGACTTGATCTTTGAAAACTGAATACCCTTTCCCCTTACTTAATTGGTTTTTTTTTTCTTTTTTTAAAGTTTTATTTCGTTACTAAATAATTTCTCTTTTTACTGTTTTCAGCGAATCTGGCTGACTTGGACTTTAACTTACTGATTGAAGCAACCTTAGCTTCACTTCATGATTTGTAGGAATCAACTCAGTAACATCAATACTTTCAACGGTTTACATTGATAGGGCTGGTGATTTTAAGAACACTGCTATGTGCCAATTTTTCTACGTAGTCATACTTTCAATTGATTTTATACATTTTTTGCCATTTTTTTATGCCATGTAACTATTTCCTTGGATAGGAATATATTGCAATATGTTTCTTTTGTGAAAACTGAATCGACCAGAAGGGTTTTTCACCTCAAATGAATGGTGCCTATCTGGCTTCTACTCTTATTGTGCTCCTGTTGATGACCAAGATAATCCTTATCTGATTAATTCTCTCTGGATAGTTAGGTCCAAGCAAATTGTGTCTGTTTTCCAAAATTGTTGGACTGCTTAGAAAAGTAAACTAGGTATGGGCACTAATGATTGAATTTCTCAATCGATAGAATACTTAAAAATTTATTCCACAAGAAATCTCTGTGATAGCTCAGAAGTAAATTGCTGGAAGATCGTAACATTAATTTTTCAGTGGTTTGTTTCTGAAAATTCTCTCAACCCAAAAAATTTACAGTTCAAAGGAAAATTCAAGCCTAGTCCCTCAAATAGCTAGGTTGGAAATCAAATATTTTGTTCTATCTTAATTTTATGGCTGCTTTACCCATTAATTAAGTGCAGCCACAATCTCGTTAGATTTTTTCTCTTTCTGCACAGATGATTGGATCCTCTAAAAGGACTGCGTAGTGATACAAAACCATATCTCGTTACTTGCTGTATTTATATGAATAAGGAACACTGTTTTTTCACATTTTTGATTCATGTAGATTTAATTTTTTCTCTTTTACTTTTTGTGATTTTTGTTTTTTTATTTTTTAAGTTTTCCTTGACCTGCTTTCTACCCACTTGTTATCCTCAGTCTCTGTCTGGAATGTATCAAGCGAATCCAGATATTTCTTTTTGTTGTTCCTTCAGGTGTTGATTCTCTTCAATTTTCATTTTCGTTTCATTCATGTTTGTTTGTTCGTTGTTTTTCCATCAAAATCAGGCGAATAAAATATTTTTTTTGTTATGTAAGAATTGCTCTCATTTACATTTTCTCTCAAGGAACTCGTAAGAACTTCCTCAACAACAGCAATTTTATTATCAGTCTCCTACGTTAACTAAATTTTAGAGTTCCAAAATTCATGAAACTCAATTTTAACTTTGCCGTCAAAAGTAGTTGTTGGTGGATTTGAAACTTGTGTCTTATGAACATAACTCCGTGACAAATTGATGAAATACACTTTTTAAATTATTATTAAGCTCTCATGAAATGAACTTCTTTCTTTACTCTAATGAATCCATTTACGCTGGGATTTAATCGTAGGTATGTTATGTTACTTTGAGCGTGCCATCCCCACCAGCCTCTTGTCATTGTTTGGACGTGAGCCGCAAAATCAAATTACCCGCCCTTCACATTTTGTGCTGAAGCCCTCCGTTCATTGGTTGAGAGATGCCAAGGTCGTATGAGTCATAACGTTATCAGTATCAGCTGATAGACGGCCATCTTGTTATGATAGAAATGAAAAGTGGCCTCTGCTTATGCATTTCACCTTTTTCAGAATTACTTTAAATTTTCCTAAAGTCTGAAACTGAGCATGTAGTTTATAGTCAAAACTTTCCTACCGTGCCTCTCTGAAGTATAGCTGTGATAGATTTTGTTGTGTAGCTCCCTTTTAATTAAATATGTTTCGTAAGTTGTGCTCTGCTGTTACTCTCTTTCCTCAATTTCTCAGAGCTGAGCAATCAGCAATTTCTGCACCCCTAGTCTCGCTTTGTCGTTGTAATAATGGTAGACCCATGGACTCAAGGTATTTCCACGCCTCCGCGTTGCGTCTGGATAAATCCAGGAAGGAGAAACGAATAAAAGTACCTCTGGACGAAGGAACCGAAGGTGAAGCCAGAGTCGGCATTGACCCAGCCCGAGCCAAGTAAGCGCTTTTTCTGGTATTTCACTACGTTTTTCAATTCCCTATCTGTAGTCTCTAGTAGCGTGATAAAGTCTAGCTACTCTGGTAGAAAAAGCAGTCGGCTAGAGTCAGCCGAATTCAGATCACATTTATCTAGGGCGGCTGCTTTTTAGGCCATCATTCAATGAGACTATTGAAGAGCCTAAAGCTCAACAGCTGTATTGATAACTAAAGGTCTGGATCCTTAAGAAAAATAGGTTTCACTTCTAGAGTTTTTAGCTGTTGGGTACCGTGCAACTATAGAGCTGATACCATTAAGCGGAAGAAACCATCAAGTCACATTTTCAAAATGGGCCAATTGCATTGAGCGGAAGTAGGGATGTCGATACTCGAGGAAGTATCAATACTGGTATCGACTCCGAGAAACGATACTGGTATCGAGCATCGAGCTGAAGTATCGATACTTTTGAGGTATCGATAGCATCTATACTATTTCTAAATTATGCCGTAATTTGGAGTGTGCGTACGTCTGTCGGCCGTTTGATTCCACCAGATTTGCGTTTCTCCCAAAACCGCTTTTATCCGCCTGCTTAGTCAACTTTAATGAGTCCTTCACTACTGTTATCGAATCGAGCCTTAACATTTTTAACGAAAAAAATAATCTTTAGAAACCTGATTACTCCGTCATTTGTCACAGTGCACAGTGAAGGCGCAACAGAAGACAGAGAAGTTGTTAAAAAAGAAAAAGAGGCCTTCTTCATGGCTAAATCAGATGAAATACTGATATCATCGATATTGGGGTTTGAGGATCGATACTACATGGTATCGATGCCAAGCATTGATGAGTATCGATGCCAAGTATTGATGAGTATCGATGCCAAGTATCGATCAAAATACGTTGGAAGTATCGGTTAAGTATTGACAACCCTAAGCGGAAGCATTGTATGTTGACACAAATGTCATTTTCTGATTACCTCAGAATCAGTACCACTCAACAGGTTAATGCATGCAGTCAGATGGCACCACTGTTAAGTGGCGACCTAAACAATACTTGACTTTTGTCTCAATATACGATACTTCCGCTTTGACTCCGAGATACCATAAGCAGTGGGATGGGTCAATATTAGCATTTCGCAGAGCTTGTCATGAATAAGTTTTCCAAAATATATATTCTCGGAAATGCTGTGCATAACTTGACAGACAACTAGATACCTACTCTTTCTTTAAATATTCCTGAATTGTGTCTGTATATTTGTTATGCTTTAATTTTAGAGATAAGTAACTAACAATTCTTGTTTCTGTGTTGATTTCAGGAAGGGCGATCCTTTTCCAACAGAAGAAACATATGATCAACTTTTTAATGGAATTCCCTTTAAGAATGTCCCTGTCTGCAGTATTAGGGTGTCCAAAAACAATACAATTTTCGCCCTTTGTCAGATGGATGGTAAGTTTATTCCTCAAAACTTGTAATCTCTAAGAATGATGATATTTTGAGCCCTTGAACATCAATTTTTTGCACATGATTATGCTCTATTGAGGGCTTTGAATTTTTATTTTCTTCAGTTATGGTATTCTCCTGTTAACTTTGCAGCCTGCCAGTAAATTTTTATTTTTTTTATCCATGGTATTCTCCTGTTCACTTTGCAGCCTGCCTGTAAATTATTGTAAACTGATTGCAGTTTGAATGTGCTAATGAGTGACAGTACATCTAGGGGTTACTCGAGACTTTGAAAAAATATAAACTTTGTCTTGTTAAGTGCATAGACACTGTGCCTGGTGAGCGCTGCTCCTGTCACTCGCAATTTGTCAACATTCATTCTTGGCCATTCAATGGGCCTGTTGCATGCAAGAGATGCAGCCTCGCGAATAGACTTTCGAGAGGTTAAATGACACGAAAATTACGATGGTCACATTAAAAAAGTCTGAAATTCACTCCTTACTGCGCAATTTGCGTTGTTAGGAACGCGCTTTTTCAAATTTCCCGCGTCTGGGGGCAGTTTTCTAACGGAAACAATTAACGGCAACTCGCGGCTGTTTCCGGTCAACTAAAACTGACAACATAACCTAAAAATCGAAGCTCGTGATTTCGTGAAATGAAATGTAGAAGGGTTGCGATGGATATTTAAAAGTTGATCGATTTGGTTACTGCAAAAAGCGTATATGGACCACTCTAAGAGATCACGTTGGGTTTGTAAACAAACTGAAGGAAAAAATAACAACAACAATGACTCGGCACCTTCCGGAAATCACTGAGTCCGCCGTTTGCTCGTTTCCGGTGATTAGAAAACTGCCCCCAGACGCGGGAAATTTGAAAAAGCGCGTTCCTAACATCGCACATTGCGCAGTAAGGAGTGTATTTCAGACTTTTTTAATGTGACCATCGTAATTTTCGTGTCATTTAACCTCTAAAAAGTCTATTCGCGCGGCTGTATCTCTTGCATGCAACAGGCCCATTGAGCACCTCATTTAAATAGCAGAACAGTGCTTTCATTCAAGTATTTCCTCAACTTTTTAGCAATCCATGTATGTAAATTCTTAATGGTCATCTTTTTTTCAATTACCTCATTTTTAGGAACTGGGCAGTTGATTCGATCCTGTGGAATTGAGGGCTTTAAAAATGCACGGAAAGGCACCAACATAGCTGCTCAAGCAACTGCTATCACTTTTAGTCAAGTGAGTATGTGCTTCCTTTTTCTTAGGTTACTCACTGACTACTGCTCCAAACCACTGTGAAGTTAAAAATATCAGCTTTCATGACCCCATTACGGAAGCGACAAGGAGCATCTTGCACTTACTTGGGTGTTGGTATTAGATCAGAAAAAGTGCCTGTAACCCTAGAAAATCACTTGGATTATGAGCTTGCCAAATTTTGCATTGTTATTTTTGATGTTCTTTTTTTCTTCCGAGAACAATAAGGTTTTAATGGACCAATTTCAATGAAAAAAAATTTGCATTTTAACCCTCTATGGCATGAATTAATTTTGGATCTCAGAGTCTATGGGACCCTGGTCAATTTTGTAGCTTGCATAAAAAAAATAGAGTACCAAATTGGTTTTCAAATGTTTAAATTTAAGGGAATCAATTTTTGAAACAAAAGGAAAAACTAACGAAATTTTTAAAAATCATGTCAGAGGGGCAAGATTCGATTTTCAAAAACCCCAAAAATTCGTTGTTTCGAATTCGTAACGCTATGCTGTAGAGGGTTAAATCAATGCCCTTTGCTGCCCTCTTGTCAAAGTTTTGAACGAGCTTTTTGTTTGAAAGTTGATGCAATAAGACAATACGCCTCATTCTTCTATTCCTCGGAAGAACTTACCTCATTCTGGCTCAGAAATGTTGGAATGCAAGGGCATATCTCTGTACTCTTTCCAGCTGGCAAGAAAATGAAAGCTTCAGTCTGCTCAAGCTCATTGAAATACCCTCAATCTTTTTTTTTGCAGAAAGCTCTCGAGCAGGGATACAAAACAATTAGAGTTGCAATTCGAGGCCTTGGACCAGGCAGAGCGGTAAGCCTTTCTTTTTTTGGTTTTTTTTCTTTTATATCTATTCCTATTTACCTTAGGGAAATCTCTCTCTGTATCAGGAAAGTTACATGAAAAAGAGAAGGATTTTCAGGGAGGCTTTTTTTTTTCATTTTCTTGTTTTGGTAGAAGTGGAAAAGAGTTAATTAACTCTGCAAGAAACTCAAACTATATTCAATAAAAAAGGAGGTAGAGAGAGGAAATGTTGGGAGAACATTGAGTTGATTGAGTATAACTCCTCTTTTATCTCTTTAAAAATATCTCAGCACCTCTTGCAATTATTTTTAATCGATTAAGGTAACAATTGAGTCAAGCCTAGGCTAACTCTAATGATTTTTAAAGTTGTATTGGCACTCCTCATTGTTAATTGTCAGAAAAGGTGTAAAATGTACATGAAAATGCTCAAAAACCTTGTAAATTCTCACTTGTGCGTAAATTGGTAATTATATTGTGAACTCTACTCTCCATCCTGAGGATTCCAGAAAGTAAATTTGCCGAAAATTAAATGCTTCTGCATTATTAATTTTAATTTAGGTGTACAAGATCTGTACGGAAAGTATCCGACCTTGTTGATTATTTCGCCACCTACGGTTGATAAGAGATTGGGGCTTGGAATTATCATTGCACGGTCTCTCCTTAGTGCAGGTGCACAGCCGTATTATCACACAGTGGAAAAACAGGATGAAAAAACGGGAAACAAGGCTAAAAATACACAATTAATGAAACCCGAGACGTTTCGACTCAAAACTGAGTCATTTTCAGTCGGAAACAATAAAAATTTAAAAGAAATAAAGATAAAAAACCTGAGCCCTACATGGTGGCGGCCGGGATCTGAGAGAAAGAGATCTCGAGAGAATGAGATCTTTCTCTCAGATCCCAGCTGCCACCATGTAGGGCTCAGGTTTTTTATCGTTTTTTCTTTTAAATTTTTATCGTTTCCGACTGAAAATGACTCAGTTTTGAGTCGAAACATCTTGGGTTTCATTAATTGTGTATTTTTAGCCTTGTTTCCCGTTTTTTCATCCTTGTTTTTCCACTGTTATCATTGTCTTGGGCTGCTCTTAAAAAATTTGTATCTATTATCACACACTCAATCAATCGTTGATAAGTTCCTGATTTGTGCTTGCGATTCTGCTGTGATCATCGGATTTTGTTTTTCCTAAAAAAAAAGGGGTTGAGAAGAGTGGGGTGGGAAGAGTTTGGGAAGAAGATCATCACAGGGGATGAGTCTTGGGTCTACAGGTACAACCGTGAGACAACAGTGCAATCGTCAGTTTGGATTGCACCTGAGACACCTCGCCCGAAGAAAGGTGGGAAGAGTCGCAGCAATATGAAGACAATATTGACTGTCTTCTTCGATCATGAAGGTGTCATCCACCATGAATGCGCTGTCCAAGGCCCCCTAAGCGATGTAAAGTTTCTTGGTAGCTCTCTTTTTTGATAGTAGAGCGTTGGGGAGCATTTTCATAATGGACGACACCTTCATGGTCAAAGAGGACAGTCAAAATTGTTTTCACATTGCTGCGACTCTTCCCTGCTTTCTTTGGGCGAGGTGTCTGAGGTACGATCCAAACTGACGATTGCACTTTTGTCTCACGGTCGTACCCGTAGACCCAAGACTCGTCCTCTGTGATGATCTTCTTCCCAAACTCTTCCCACCCCACTCTTCTCAACCTCTTCTTTTATAGGAAAGAGGAAATCCGATGAGCACAGCAGAATCGCACGAATAAATCAGCAACTTACCAACAACTGATTGAACGTCTGATAATCCGGCTGTGCACCTGCACTCAGGAAAGTCCGTACAAAGATAATCCTAAGCCCCAACCTCTTATCAACTGTTGATGGCAAGATAATCAATGAGGTCGGACAATTTCCAGACAGACCTCGTAAGTAAGTATTTGCAGGGTTGTTCAAATATATTTTACTTAATTTTTCGTTTGTTTATTTTTTTCAGGCTTCAATCAAAGGTCTGGTTATGGGTGGTATGGATATAATTTCAGTCACTGATACCACAAGGATATCATGGAGTCCACCACGACCAAGGAAACCCCGCAGACTGTAAATTTAGCTTGTATTAGGTAAGTCTCCTTTTTTGTGTGTATGACCTGTAATAGAGTTGAGGGAAAAAGGACCTACAGTGAATATTAAGCAATAAGCTGTGGATATTACTTTATAAGAGCGTCAATTTTGCATCATCATGCAGGAGCTCCCTGAATTTCGGAAAATTAATTCTATCAGAGTTTTTCAAAACTCTAGAAGAACACTATCCAAGTTAAAAGGTGACTTCTTTGAAGAAAGTTTGCTTCAGTATCAATGAAAGGATTCTCTTGTTTGCCCAGAGTGTTTCAGAAGTTGGGTATCACCTATAAAAATTTTAGCCCAGAGCTGGGTAAGTTGTTACCTATACAAACAGCAAACCCAAAAGAAACCACCTCTAAGTAAATGCAACTCATTGCATTCTTTGCAAAGCAAATCATGTGAAATATTGATCCGTATAGATTGTACGTATATGATGATAGTAGGAAATGATATCATGAAGCTAGTGAGAAGTGACAATCGTCAAAAACAGTAAATTGATTGTTTTTTTGACCTCACTTGTAATGTATTCAATTTATGCGGGTACTTCAAGTTTCTTTTTCCCTCCCTCTATTACATTTTTGCTATATTTCCTTTCATTCTATCTTTCCTTGTACATCTGTCGTTGTGCCAAATAAAGTAAAAGTTTTAATTGGACCACATTTTGCGATTCTGCACGACTGTCTTGGCTTGTTTGTAAAATCAACTATCTGCCGAGGGAAACCAATGGCACGTACGATGTTTCTAAAATGAAACAGAAATGCATAGTAGCTCCGTAGCAGAACATAGTTCAATCGTAAGTGAGCTCCTCTTTTAATGAAAGCCAGTTTTATTGAAGCTTAGCAAATTAAGTGTTCAGGTTTGTTTTCATTTTTTTGACAACCATTTAAAATTGGAAAATGCTGGGGGAAAAACCAGCAATGTCCGTTCCAACCATGCAAATTAACATAATGTTCTTATTAAGAGGCATTCATTAAAATTCCTATATTTTAGAGTGGAAGTTTAAAAAGATGCATGGATACACATACATACATATGACAGAAAAGGAACGGTATATTTATTTGTGATCTAAAACTCACGAGCGATGCTCCTCTCAGGTCTGAGTCCCATCATGAGAGAGGATGCAGTAGCATATTTCCTTCAGAAAATACAAAATGAGGGTATCTCTCTCTCTCTCTCTCTATTTTTTCCTCTTTTCTTTACTTTTTTTTTCACTACACCACCAAATTACATTAATTACAATTACAGCCTCGAAGGGTTAATTTAACTTTTCTGATTCTCTGTGAATCCACTCGTAAGAGTCAATTTAGATTTTCTTGCCAGTCACTAAACCAATGTCTCAACTTCATCCCAAAATTTTAGAAGGCACAAAGATTTGTGACTCATTCATCATGGAGCATGCAATTTTGTAAGGAACTAAATTGCAAAGTTGCACCAATTTTTTGGGTCCAAACCGTTTTTGAGTCTTACCGACTTATTATCATGATTGTTTTGTTGACTAAAAAGAACCAATCGGTTGGATGAAGGGTATCAGGGATATTACAGTCAGGGTGGCATTTTGAGTTATCAAGGAAAATTTGTCTTAAGGCCAAAAATTATTTGGAAGTTTACAATTGAAATGACCCTTATATCAAATGTTATGACAAAAAAATGATATCATCTCATCAAGTTTCCCAGTAAGCAAGTGTTCAGATCTTAGGAGAATTATTTTCTCTCAATACTTCTTGACAGAGATGGTTCTAGTCTTAGAAGCAACAAAGAAATTTCAGAACTTCTCAATTCAGAATGATTAATTCCGATTCCAATGAAGACTTCCTTGATTCATTAGAAAGTACCAGAATTTTCCTTTCTTTCACAATTTTTTTTTGTATCCAATCAGTCCTAACTTTTCCCGACATTTTTGTAAGTGATAATTACTTTCTTTTTCCTTTGCCCCTATTCCACAAAACAATACTACATTGTAAGTTCTGCGGTATGTAAGAGTGCACTCAGAGTTTAACAACGATGGAGTAGCTATTGTCTTATTTCAATAAACTGTGTGCATTAGGCATTAGGTATCACTTATTGATTATACGCTACCGTTGCTTCTGTAAAAGTTGAGTTCTTGCAGGTTCCAGGCGCTTAATAAAGATAGCGGTTCCCCCACTTCTGTTGCAAGTCAAGGCTCCTAATGCTAATATGCAACCCATTATCAGGGGAAAAATCAGGGGTTAACATTTCTTTGTTGTGACTCGAATCTCTTTTCAAATAGTCAACTTAAAATTGTAATTCACTAATGTCTAATGAGCATATCAATGTAAGGTCGGCATCTAAGTCGGTGATCCAAATTAACATGCAAACAGTCGATTGAGTCATTTAAAAGCATTTATCATGAGATTTTAACAGTTTATTAATTTAAATATAATTTTAATACTTTTTGATTCATTTATCGTTATTTTTTTTGGCATTAAAACAGGCATTTGAAATTGTATTGTTTGAATTTGGTAGATTTTCTTTTTTATATATTGCATCACCTTTCTCCGGTGTTTTCTTGTATTAATTTAAGCTTAATTGTATCTGATGTACCAATAATTATCTCTGGCTTATTCTGTTACTGATAATTTTACTTTTGACAGTAACTACTTTGTAAGAGTGGCAACTGAACCTTGATGTCTCCATTCCTTCCCTAATTTATATTATGAACGCATTTAAAATAGTATTGTGGTGTGACTGGTTTAACAGTCTCAATCTAATCTAGCTGCAAAGAGTGCCTTTGCGGGGGTGTAAACTAGAGAAGCCTGTGTTAGTAGTTGCGTTAGGAAAAATTAGAGCATTTTTTAATAATTAAAATCTATTCAAAGGTGAAATACATTATTAATGATCTTCTTCAATCCCAGCAAAACCTCCAGAGACATACAACCTGCTGGCATTAGAGTTTTGTACAAAAAGTCTAAAGATGTTGTAGTTGTTTGACAAATTTTAAACACCTCCCCCCCCCCCAAAAAAAAAAAAAAAAAAAAAAAAAAAAAAAAATTCTGAATATGGCACTTTCACCATTAACATTTTTGTGCCTATAATGCCCTATCACTAGTCCCCAGAAGCACATTTTTAAACTGAAGCAGTAGTCAGTCAGTCAGTGCTTGGCATTTTATTTCTCGGAAAACTTTTCTTAAAATGGAGCAAAGGAGAAAATTTGGATTGTGTCAGAATTTTTTCTGTCTTAATTTAAAATGTAGATTCGTTTTCCCACTCTAATAGGAAGAAAAAAGTCCTCCTCTTTTTCTCTCATAAAATGTAGACCCTAGACCTAAAATGTCTCATTCAGTATAGTACTCTACGAGATGTAGGTTTAAGAAGACAATAATAACTTTTACTCTAATTAGTATTAAATATTTCATTTTTACGCATTTTCTTCTTTAACACAGAAAAGTCGGTAATTGTTCTCTTTTTGAAGCATCACTGACGGGTTGCTCTGTTCTGAAATGATCACCACCATCGAAAGAAGGCTCTTAACTGAAGTTTTATGGCCTCAGATATTACATGAACGTTGACTGTTGTGGACCACTGTGTGATGAAAACAAGTATTTTTGTTAAAGACACCAACATTCGATTCTTCGAATGAAGCACAACAGAAAAAATTGAAATGATGAAAGGAAGAAGTTAAGAGTCTCAACTTTGTCTCCTGATGAGATTTTTTTCTTGATGTTGCATGTATCTCATGAAAATTTTTTCCTTAAGAACGTTCTCCCTAAGGGCTCTCAATTGAGTGATGATCCCCCAGAATTCATTGACTCTAAAGGATTTCAATTTTATCCACTCATCTTAAGTAAAAATAGAGCTGCCAGGATCGAGAATGTGTACTTTTCACTCCTTTCAGGGCGCACATGCTCATTGACAAATTAATTTGAACTTGGCTGACAACAGAGTTAACTCATTTTAAAGATTTTAAATCATCTCAATACCTCAAGATTTTGTTCGACTTAAAATCTAGGTAAAATATTTTTCTAGATCTCTTACATTTTTCCCCTGAAAACAGCGCTCCTGGGGAAGTGAAAAAAATTGATGTAGTATCATGCTCGATAGACCATCAGTAGAGTGCATACCGAATAAGTTTGAGCATTTCCACAGTTAGACAGAAGGATCGTCATCTTGATTCTAATTTAAATTTATAATTTTGAACGTAAGACAGCAGATCTTCTGTTGCATTCTTGAGGGATTGAATGTTATGTGGCAGGCGCTCTATAAATTGTAAATATTGAGAAAAAAAAGTTATCAATTAGATTCCTGTAGGAGAGAAACTATTGATTTGTAGGTATTTCGTGATAAATTTGGTCTTTTTTCGTTACTTTCTACTTTTCTTATATTCCGGGCTGGTAGGCACTGAAAATGTCTTTTTTTTTATTATCTACTTTTATCTTTGACTTTAATCATCTTATGCGCCCTTAATGTTGTGCTGCATCTATCTCCACCATTAGCTTTGGTTTGTGAAGAGGAAGAGGGGTATACCATCCATAATGAAGTCCTTGGGTGGGAGGGGTCAAAGTAGAGACATGGATTTCCATGTCACCTTATTTTTGTCCATCAGTAACTGCAAATGACTTGATTTTTTCGAATTTTCAATTTATTGCCTCTGTTCTTTCGAAAATTGAGGTGTTTGAAAGAGGTGTTACTTTAGTCTCAGAACGAAATTTTGATTACTAGCCGTGAGCGTATTGCTGAATTTCTAGTATATTTCGTAGACGATCTTCTTCTTCGTCACGATCACTGTTGCCTTGTTGAATCTTTCATGTGACAGAGACAAAGCTACTTGTTCATGTGAATATTTTGGATTTTTCTCTGCCCAACACCTGTTTCCTCACGGAAAGAATATTTCAGAGCAAGTTGTAGAAGCAGGAAATGATGAGACAGGTTGCGGGGAGATTTCTCACGATTAATTTAATTTTTGTCGTATTTTTCTCATGTGATTTTGACGAAAGTCATTTATTCTTTCGCAGGGGAATTGATTCCATTGCGCGCACGATTTGAAAAGGACGCCACTGTGCCGATTACGTCTGCTTACCAATCACGTCCGCCAATGAAAATGACACGTTTACAGCGCAGTGCATTGTGGGTCCGCCTCACGAAACCTGATTTACGATTTCAAAATGGCCGAACTATCTCTTCGCCCCAGCCATCCTTGTGTGCGGATGTGAAGAATTTTTACGTCAAACCGATTACTTTTTGTACGTTATCTCGTAGATTTTGCAGTTCTTATACAGTTGTATTGTTAAAGTGTTTCTAGTGCTAAATTTCGCGTTAGATTCGTCTTTTTTTCACCCAGGCAATACTGCCTATTTGCCTCGGCTATCAAGATGGATATGGTAGCTGCCCTTGTGAGATAGAAATTTTTACTCAAGTGTTTTGTTTCGTTCTGTTCCAAGCGAATTTTAGTTTGTTTTCCCTTATTTTTTCTCGCTACCGCTTGCATTTGTGTGTAATGAAAGACATTCTCCCATTTCTTTGGACAATAATGCATTCCCCACCACTTGATAGAGCACGGAGTAGCAAGTTTTAGAAATCCTCTCAGTATGACTCAGGTAAGGATTAAAGTGTAATTAAACAGTTATTCCTTCATTTCTCATCTATAAATTCTTTATATCGACCCTCTCTATTGCTGAATTTAGTACTAGACTCATTTTTTGTGTTCCTTACCATGAGCCCTTGAGCTGAATCGAAGAAACTTACTTTCGCGTTTTTTCTAGGTTATAAGATCTTTTATTGTGTTTTTAATGTTTTACTCATTAAATTTCATCCTCTCAACGTTCTTTCTAGACTTTTAGCACGTTTCTGTGTCATTCTTGCCTCAAAATTACCCTCAGCCTAAAATAGGCTCATGAACTTTTCGCCGAAGACCACATCTCAATTTTCCCCATTATTTGTTTACATTTTGTTTAAATGGCTCTAAAGGGGTGATTGGAGGGCTGTGCCACAGTTCTGGGGGTATTTTTTGATAGCTCTTCAACTGTGAAGGTTAATGAGGTCACAACTATCAAATTCTGTTCGGGACCCATTTTTGCAATTTAAGTCCGAAGTTGACTTAGTCTCAATCTCCAGGACCCTGAGTAGCTGTTTTCTATTGCCTCAAGGCATCCTAGAGCCAAAATCTAGAGGATTACTCCACCCCTAAGTGTACCTTATGGTGAAGCCTAAGCTCCTTGGAAATTACCACCTTAACTTTATTCCTAAGCTTGTAGCAGCCTTTTACGCAGTTTTATTCAGTTTCAGTGAGATTCTCAGCGGAACTGACCTCCCTAGTGTTTTTTTACTTTTTTCTCACTTGTATTTATGGTGTTCAAAGTTACCTTGATTTTCAGTGGCCTGAAACTGGCTAAGTGCCCTTTACCTTTCTCAGCTTCTTTATTTTAGGTCCTATCGAACTCCCTTTTCGTATTAGTTTCTACTGCGAGCCCTGCACTTTTCTTACAGCATTATAGCTCCCTCCCTACCTACCATGTCCTTCATGTTTCATCAGCTTATGTCATCATCCTGATTGATACTTTCCCCACTACTTTTGTCAGATTCTATTTCAAATGTTCTGGCTGCCGCATGAATTCATGCATGCCAGCAACTGCGATATTAGAGAAAGCCACATTCAATAAATAGCGTCATTGTCATGTTGACTGTAGGTTTTTCTTTGCCTTCAGTTGATCAGTCTGCCCCAATTTTTCTTTGCCTGCTCAGTTTCCTTTCTGTTCTTTTCAAATTGAAGTTCCCGTGTAAGCCTTTTTGATACACGGCTGTACAATTTTTCTCCGTTCCCCTCTGCAACCACTCTAAATCTCTTTGTCCTTTAAATAGTTTTAGATTTTTTTCTAGTCGGAGCTTTTTTCAAAGTTTCTGCCAAATTGAAACCTGTCTCAATTCCACAAACACAATTTCTATTGCTTCTTTGCTGCTATTGAGCGACAAATATCTCCTCCGTATTGAGTTTCCTCTGCTCTCTGATCATAAAATGTGAGACAATAAGTACTGTGTAAATTTTTATACCTGTGTTTATGCCTGCTTTCATGGTCTTATGAAAAAGTATCTACTTTTACATGCTTTACACAATCAGTACAAGAATGAAAAAAAGCTCTTCCAACAGCACAATGGCCCATTCTTTGGTTCTCTATCCTTCGACTCTTCTGTTTTTATTCGCCTAAAATTTTTGATAGGCTCCTGAATTTTTTTTATTGTTTCTCCGAAGTCAATTTACCTAGAATGCCCCAAGCCTTGTTAATTTTTAGCATTTAAATTGATTATCTTATCACGCATAGCCCTCCCCAGGTTTGCGCTAATGTCAGTCAGTATGAAGAAGATCCTTTTCAGATTTTTTTCATGCATTACTCATCAAAGTTTCGGATTAATTTTCATTTTTCACACATTAGTGATTTTGCTATCAAACGCACAGCTCTGAAAGATTAAAATCCTGCGGGACATCAGTGAGCAACATGAAATTGTAGTATACACACCGAGTAATTGCTTGATTTTCATTTGATGCTTATTGTCAATTTATCGAGAAAATATTCTCGATTCTCACAAGATTAGTACACAAATCTAGGCGGAAGTGTCCTCTTCTACTTAGCCTATTGGTTTATCTTTCCATCATAAATCTAAAGCGCAGCTTTCATCGGCCGATGGAGACATTGAGGATATATTGGGACCTTTTTTTTTAAGAGCAATAGGCACCATTATATTGCAGTTAAAATAGCTTTTTGCTCTTCAGCATTATATGATATGCCGTTAGGACACTTCCATCAGAGTTATTTCTGATTACTATTGGGTTTTGATGGCTGTGATATAGCATAATCTGTCTTATTCTAAATCATTACGAGAAAATAATTTTATTAATTAATGAAAAGGTTTTGTTCATCTTTGTGTACGGAGAGATTGATTGCCTGTTCAGTTTATGTTACTGCCAGCTCTAGTAGTTCCTGCTTTTTATAATAATGGTTCCAAATACGCTGAAAAAAGAAACTTTGATTGCCCTGCTGATCATACCTATTGCCCTTTTATGGGCGTAAGTCAAGTAAAAAGTCCCCAGGGTAGGTCTTTTTATTTAAACTAGTTAGATTTTTGTCCCAATATCACACTCGCTGTCTATTCTCGAGATTCATGCTGGAAATCTTTGGGCAAATGATTGCGAGATGAATTGGTTTGCGTAAAGTAGTTCATAGGTTCCTCCATAATAGATACATTTTTTTAACTCTGTGCTTACAAACAGTATTGTACATGAACCTGTGAAACGAAATTCAGTCCTCTTGGCTGACTGTCATGTTGCTTATTCTGCCATAGAACTTTTGAAAGAATCATATGGGACTTCACTAATTGAGGAATTTCATTTGTGAGTAGAAACTGCTGGCAGGGCTGAGCATAATACCATTCACAACATGTATTGAGACAAAAATCTTAGCAGGGACTCGTTTTTTACATTATGGGGAGCTAATATTGAATTTTATCTTGGAAGCATTATGAATTTGCATACCGGTACAGTGTATAAACTAATAACTCTCTCTTAAATTTGTATATTTCTCTGACGAAGTCAGAATTAGGCAGCATAGAACATCTCTTCTTCTCTCCAAAACAAATTTTCTTTAATTTCTTATATGAACCTACCTCAACAAGACGCACAAGTCGCATTTTAGAGAAACATGATTTGGGGAGAATCAGAAGCCAAGAAAAAATATTTGTAACGTAAAATTGATCTTGAACATTGAGTCTCCTGCTGGAATACAACTTCAAACTCCCTTTCCTCGATTCAGTCTTGATGCAACTTACCTAATGTGTTTCTGTTGAGATTTGTCTGTATCTAAAAAAAAATTAATAAAAACTTCGAACTGAGCTCACGGAGCACATCCAAATGAAGCAAGAATATTTCCTGATGCGAATCCTCTGTTCTTTTTTTTCGAGGCATAAAATCAGCAGATGTCAAAGCCGTCGTATTGTGCTTCCTGTGCTACCAATCAAATAAATAAATAAAAGTTCAGTTTTTTGAAGAAATAAGTTAAGTTGCTGTACCCTAAGGGTGGGTCCACACAATTTGTAATTTACACCAAAAAAGGGGGGAATCTTAGTGATGAGTTCATGAAACAATGAGGCCTACATACAATTATTTTATTCGTGTGTTGATTCCAAAATGCCTTTAAATTTTGGGTTCAAACATCAGACAAAATTTTGAGTCCCAAGTCATGATTTTTCTTCTCCTTTTTAAGAAAATAATAAAAAAGTATTTAAATAAATAAATAAGAAAATAGAAAAGATAAAACTAAATCTGATTTTTTTTCTTATAATTAATATTAGGTATCTGTGACAATTATTTTTAACTTCTGAATGAAGTTGTAGTCAGGGTTTTAACTTCAGCCAGCACCATACTATGTTAAATGTGCCTGAATTTAATTCATGTCAGTAAGAATCAGGCACCTTGAAATTCGTGGAAAAGGCAGGGAATCTTCCTGTAGGTCAAGGAGTCTTTTCATTTGGAGAAAAGACCTTGTTAAGTGGAAGGTTTACCTTTACGAAAATAGTCCAGGAATTTCCCTTTTTTTTCGAAGTAGTAGAATAGATTAAAGAATCTTTTCATTTTGAGGAAAGACCATGATTAGGACAAGGTCCAAATTTCCAAAAATAATCCAAAGATTTCTTATTTTGAAAGGTCAGGGAATTTTGCCAACTTTAGTTGGGTATTTTTTTTTCCCCCGTGAAAAGTTAGGGAATTTTGAAACTTGAGCTCAGTCGCTATTCTGGGCAGTCCTCTTGGTCGATCTTCCTCTATCATTCTCATGGGATTGTTTTGCCTCCAGAAAAAAAAGTTTCGACTCAGGTAAGTGAAAACTTGAAGGTCCAAAGAAGTAAAATTAAGTACTTGTTCAAATTGTTTCTACGCTTATAAATTACTGTTGATCTCTAGTCACGGAAGTCAGGGAACCCTTTCACTCCAACGGAAACTTGTTCTATTGAGGGGCTGTCATTTAAATGGAGATAGACTGATGTTGAACCAAGCTGCACTTAGGTCGTTTTCAAAGAACTCGTGAATCTGGATCATTTTGGCGAGGAATTTACTGGTTTCTAAAGAGCCCTAAGTTGGCCTGAGAGTTCAGGACTTCGATATTTACATTTTTAAGTGCCTTCAAGTTTCCTCTCTCCCCCAAGTAATTCGTTGGATCCCGGATTTTATCTGAAAGCAATTGGGATGCTTCAAATAGGTATCATAAAAGACATTTGGAAAACTTGGGTTTCAATGGACTCATGGAAAAGGCTCTCGAACCCTGTATTGATCAAGAGATTTCAGGTGGATCTTCAGCCTTTGTGCAGTGCATCGATGTTATTCAAATTTTAACCATTTGGTAGACAATTTGGGAAAGTCGAAATTTCAGTCTGTATACTTATCTGTAAGGAATGCTCGTTTCGAGAATCATCCTCCAAAATTTTACAATTAAGTAAGAAGTACTGTTTTCAATAATCGATTTTAATGCACTGATATCGACCGTTAATTAGAAATAATCAGTTTGACTTTGTTTTAAGACTCATGGAGATTATACTCGGCGTGAACATTCTTTAG